CMAAAAAAAAAAAAAAAAGTGGAAAACACATAAACAAATAAGAATTTGAAAGAGCGAGAGTGCTGTTAAAAAAGAAAAAAGCTAAAGAAAGCAAAATATTGTGATATGAAGAGTAAGTCAGGGGGCTGGGGCTGGGGCTCAGTGGCAGAGTGCTTGCCTGGCACATGTGAGGCACTGGGTTCAATCCTCAGCACCACATACAAAAATAAGCAAATAAAATAAAGTTATGCTGTCCATCTACAACTACAAGAAAAAATTTTTTTAAAAAAGAGTAAGTCAGTAATCTACTTTAGACAGAGTAGTCAAAATGTGCCTCTTGGAGGATATGACGTTTGCGCAGAGACCTGAAGGCACTGAGGAAGGGAACCATGTAAATTGCCTGGGGAAGAACATTCCAGGCCAAGGAAACAGCAACAGCAAAACCTGGAAACAGAAGGAGTCTGAAGTGACTATAACCCAGTGATTGAAGGAGAGTGGTAACAGGTGGGGTTAGAGAAGTAGCAGGACGACAGTATTATATGGAGGCCCTGTAGGTAGGTCATGGTCCGATGTGAGTGGGTGTTGTATTTCAGTGGTGAAGCACCCCGGGATTCAATCCTCAGTATCACCAAAAATAAAGTAGTAAACACATAAACAAATAAGAATTTCAAAGAGTGAAAGCTGGGGATTTTTTTTTTTTTTTTTTTTTTTTAGTGAAGTGAAAAGCTATTAGAGGGTTCTGAGTCAAGAAATGACTCACATTTAACAGAAGGATCCCTCTGGCTTCTGGGCAGAGAACAGTATGGATGGGCTACTGATAGAAATGGAGCCAGTGAGGCCATCTCAGCAGTCCAGGCAAGAGGTGAGTGGTGGCCTACATCTGGGGGATAAGCAGTGGATACAGTGAGAAGTAGTTGAATTCTGAATCTATTGCAAAAACCAAGCTGATACAATTTGTTGATGGATTGCATGGAGCTTTAAAAATATGCCTGCAAATTCTCTGCCATTGAGAAACAGAGCCTAATTCATCAACCTTTCAGTGTAGGTTGCACATACTGATTGACTTCCAATGAACAGAAGTAAGGTAAGAGCCTCCAAGACTAGATCATAAAAGTCACTGCTGCTTCTTCCTTGCACATTCTCTAAAGGAAGTTGGCCACCATCCTGTAAATCCACTCAAGCAGGTCATGGAAAGATCCATGTGGGGAAGAACTAAGGCCTCCTGCCAACAGCCAGCACCACGTAAGTGAATCATGGGGAAGTGGATCCTCCAGCCCAGTTAATCTTCAGAGGGCTGCGGTCCCAGCCAACATCTTGAATGTACCCTCATAAAACACTGAGCAGGAACTACTCAGCTAAGCTCCTCCTGGATCCCTGACCCACAGAAACTGTAWGAGATAATTGTTYACTGTCTTAAGCTGCTAAGCTTGGGGTGATCTATTATAGAGCATTAGATAACTAACGATGATTGAAAGATAAGAGAAAGAGAGGAAGCAAGAGACTGGGGCTGGGGCTCCGTGGTGGAGCACCTGCCTAGTGTGTGTGAGGCACTGGGTTCAATCCTTAGCACCACATAAAAACAAATAAATGTATACTGTCCACCTACAACTACAAAAAATAAAATAAAATAAAGAATGACTCCAAGACTTTGAATCTAAACACTTGGAAGATGCAGTGGCAATTTACTGAGTTGGAGAATGCTGGGACAGGGAGTAGGAAGGGATCAACGGTTCAATTTGATATGCCAATTACACAGCCAAGGGAGACCCTGGGGAGTACTATGGCTTGAATGTCGTTCATCCCCCAAAGATTTGGGTGTTAAAAGCTTGATTCCCCACCATGGCGCTGTTGGCATGTGTAATATGGAATCGTTCAAACTTGAGACTTATTACACTGTGGTTAGGTTACTGGGCRCACCGTCCTGCCTTTAGACGGGGTTCATGCAGTCTTGTGCAGTGARTTAGCTCTTGTGAGAATGGGTTGTTATAAAAACCAAGATTGGCCACTCCCTCTCTTCTGGCTTCTTATTTCACTACATGAATTCTCCTTCTCAAATGAGCTCCTGCCATTATGATGCTGCTCGCCATGATGTGATGCAGCCACAGGAGTCTCCTCGCCAGAGGCTAGATCAGTGGGGTCACCCAATCCTGGACTTTCAGCCTCCTAAACTGTGAGCTCAATAAACCTCTTTCTTTATAAAGTTCTCAACCTCAGTATCTTGTAATAGAAATGGAAAGTAGATGAATAAAAGTAAGATAATGGACAGCTGGCCTGAAGTTCCGGGAACAGCGTGGGGCTAGGGATAGAAATAGATAAACTGATACCACATGGGTTGTGGTAAGCATCATGGCACTGCCTATCACGTAGGGAGTGGGTGTAGATAGAAAAGGCTGGGGCTTTCCAAATTTTAGAAGTTAAAAAGAGGTTTCAGTGGAGACTGAGAAGCAGCAGCCAATGAGGAAGAAAGGAAGATGATCAAAGAGTTTAGTGTCCTGAAGGCCAGTAAAGGAAGGAAGGATAATGTGAATTCACTATTCTCAAATTTTAGTGCATATCAGCCACCTGGAAATCTTGTTAAAACACAGATAGCCGGGCCCACATCTGGAATTTCTGATTCAGTTGGTATATTTATCTCTTGTAAAAATTACCACAAACTTTGCATCTTAAGACAACACAAATTTATTCTCTCAGAGTTCTGGAGGCSAGAAGTCCAAAATCAAGATGTCAGCATGACCACTTCTTTGAAAGGGTCTTGGGGACAATCTTCTTTGCCTATTCCAGCTTCTGGTGATTTCAGGGGTTTGTTCTGCACACCTCAGTCTCTGCCTACATCTTCATGTAACCTTTTCCTCTAAGAGTTTCACTCCTCTGGGTRTCTCTCTTGTGTCTCTTATAAGGACACTCACTTGTCATTGGATTTAGTGCCAACTCAAATAATCCAAGTTAATCTCACCTTGAACTCCTTAACTCAAAATTGCATCTGCAAAGAATTTTTTTTCCAAATAAGGTCATATTCATGGATTCCAGGGGTTAGGAAGAGATTTTGGGGTTGTTTGTTTTATTTTTGTTTTGTTTTGTTGAAGGCCACCACTCAAAACCACCACTATAAGTCTGGCCTGGAGACTGAGAATTGCATTTCTAGTAGGTTCCCAGGAGATGCAGATACTATCCCTGTGGAACCACAACCACTGAGACAGAGAAATCGAGCCAGATGGGGACCAAGAACTGACCATGTGGATATCACTGGTAACTTTGACAAAAGCAGTTTTTGTGAATGAGTGAAAATGAAAGCTTRACTCAAAGACCTGAAGAGAATCAGAGGCAGTAGCATGGACAATTTCACAAGTTTTGTTATCAACGAGAGGAAGAAATGATAAAAAGCTGTACAGGGATGTGAGTTCAAAGGGAAATTTTTTTGTGTGTGTGTGCCAGGGATTGAACCCRGGGATGCTTGACCACTGGGCCAATCCCCACCCCTTTTTGTGTTTTATTTAGAGTCAGGGCTTTGCTAAATTGATGAGATTGGCCTTGAACTTGGGATCCTCCTGCCTCAGCCTCCCAAGTCGCTGGCTCCCACCATGCCTGGCTCCAGGGGAAAACATTAAAAATAGAAGAAATAATGCATGTTTGTATGCTGGCTGGATGGGTAATAGGGAKAATTTGATGACTCAGAGGAAAGTGGAGATAAGACACAGGAGAGATGTGCTTAAGCAGCAAGATCTGGCTTTGGGTCTGGCAGTATGGAGGAGGAGAAGAAGACAGCATTGGGGAATTGGCATAGTCACTGGGTAGATGGTGGGGCTGCCTCAGATAGAGAAACCAGGTGGAGAGAACTGGGGGAACTCTAAAGCTTTGTATGGAATGTGGTGACGGTCCCAAGGACATCCAGGAGTAAATTGGGTAGAGCTCAGCAGAAYGATTTAGAAATTAGAAGATGAGGACTGGGGATGTAGATCAGGGTAGAGTACTTGCCCAGTGTGTATGAGATCCTAGGCTTAATGCCCAGTGGCACCAAAAGAAGAGTCTCAGAATACATGGAGCTGGGTCCTCACAGGCCTGTTTCCCAGGGGCCAGTGAATGACTGGGTAGTGGGGAAACCTCCAAAGTTGGACATCTGTGAGGGATCTGGGACTTGATAAGGGCAGGGGGCCTCTGGGGACATTAGGGGCAACTGCAGAGGCTGCTAGGTGCCTTCCAGCACCCTGGCTCCTCTGTGACCTCCTCCCTTCAGGCTCCAGGGGCAAAGGCAGGAAGTACTGCCTGAGGCTCACTTCCGGCTTCACTGAGTGTGCTGGCACCACCTGGCCCCCCTCAGCACCCTCAGGGACCTTCCCACCTCTGGCCCATAGCACTTTCACTTCTCCCAGGTGCCCAGCCCCTGCCCCCCTGGCATGTGGTAGCACTCTGGTCTAGAACAGCACAGATTCCTCTGAGAGAGGGGGGCAAAGACAAGTGGGAGACAGAGGAAGGAGGAGAGGATCCCAGAGAGAAGGGACCAGAAACCCAGAGAGAGGGAGAATTGAGACACAGGTGTGGGAACAGACTCATAAGAGAACAGAGGCTCTGTGAGAAGAAGCCAGCCAGCCAGAGAAGGACTGAGACCCAGGGAGAGAGGGTTAGAGACCTAGAGAGGTGGGGAAAAGAGACCCAGAGCAGGGAAAGGGGGACAAAGCAGATGCAGAGATGGGAAAGCTTAGCAGGCCATGAGGTCAGAGTGTCTGTGAGGTCGGTTGCTGTCCAGAGACAGCCMTGGGGTACTGGTGCCCAGACAGATGTCAGTAGATTAGGAGTCCCTGTGGATCCCCCAGCAGGAGCCATGGAGACCTGGGAGGGACCACCCACAGTGTCCTTGGTGACCACCAATTCCAAGGCCCCTCAGGTACAAGAGTGCGTCCAGGTGGGGCGGGTTAGAGAGACAGAGTCATCTCCAGTGAAGCGGACTGGGAGGGGCCCCACCCCTCCACCGCCCTCCACCGCTGGAACTTCCTCTTTCTGTGTTCTTCCTCCTCTTGGCCTTTCTTTGTGTCTCCTCTCGGCCTCTGTCGCTCTGCCTGTCTCCCCGCTGCCAACACCTCTGTCTGGTCCATCCAGCCAGTCACTCTCCACTCTAGGTGAAGATGTCGGCGCAGGAGAGCTGTCTCAGCCTCATCAAGTACTTCCTCTTCGTTTTCAACCTCTTCTTCTTTGTGAGTTGCCTCGCGTGGCTACCCAGCCCCAGCCCCAGCCCCAGCCCCAGCCCAGCCCCATTCGTGGACCTCATATCCCCTGTCCACTGTCACACTCTCATCTTCCTTCCCCAGGTCCTGGGAAGCCTGATTTTCTGCTTCGGCATCTGGATACTCATTGACAAGGCCAGCTTCGTGTCGTTTGTGGGTGAGGGGGCTGGGGCAGTCAGGGAGGGCCTTCCTGTAGCAGACCTGGACCCAGCCTGCCACCAAGCAGCCTCCCGCGGTCTCCCTTATCCTAACGAGGCCAAGAATGCCCAATTCCCCAGGCAGATGCCAGCCTTACCACTGTCACTCGCTTCTCAAAGCCTGTCTTCCTCTGGAACATGGGGTTGTGCGTACCAATAATAATAACAGTGACAACAATATTCATTTCTCAAGCTCTTCCTGTGTCAGATCTTGAACTGATATTCATCAGGTCCTCCCATAAACCTTCCCATCTCTTGAGATTCATAGAGGGGAAGTCCCTTGTTGGTGTCACACAGCAGGAAGCAAAGGGCAAAATTGTTATAATAGACATAATGAAAGTAAGCTCATATTTACTAAGTGTTTGCCTTGCATTAGGGTTGGGTTCAACTTATACTCCAYGTGTCCAGGTGCAATGACACAGTTATTCAGGAGGCTGAGGGAGGAGGATCGCTTGAACTCAGGGATTTGAGGCCAGGCAGGCAACAGAGCAAAACTAGATCTAAAAAAAAAAAAAAGAAAGAAAGAAAAAAAAAAACTCTAGGAAATAAATATCATTCTCTTGGCTTCCAGGGGTTTTAAGTGACAGAGGCAAAGTCACAGAACAAGTGATGGGCTGACACTATCAGTGTGAGGAGGAGTTAAAGGAGGAAAAGAGAAAATGAGAGCCAAATAGAGGGACACAGATGCTGATGGGGGAAAACACAGGGGGGGGGAGATAGTAGGAGAAAGTCTTAGAAGAGAAACAGAGACTCAGGATGGGGCAAAGACGGTCCCAGAGAAAAGCAAACATTCAGAGAAAGGGAGGTCCAGGGCACAGGGAGAGGCCCCTAGGACACTGCACCGCACTTGGGTGGCTGCCTGGGTGGGGCATGGAGTTGCCTGGAGCTGTGTACTTGGGTCCACCATCACTGCCTCTCACTTCTTCCAGGTTTGACCTTCGTGGCCCTGCAGATCTGGTCCAAGGTCCTGGCCATCTCAGGAATCCTCACCATGGGCCTCGCCCTCCTGGGTTGTGTAGGGGCCCTCAAGGAGCTCCGCTGCCTTTTGGGTCTGGTGAGTGCCCTGCCCACTAGCCATCCTCAAGAACACTTCCCCATCTAAAAAGGCCAGGGGAAAAGGTCAGCCTGACCTCTCCCCTCTACTCACTAGTATTTTGGGATGCTGCTGCTCCTGTTTGCCACGCAGATCACCCTGGGGATCCTCATCTCAACTCAGCGGGTCCGGGTGAGCGCCTGTCAATAGCACCCCATCCCTGGCAGCTGAGTAGGTAGTGTGGGGTTTGCAGGAGTGGTGGAGAGATGGCGGGGGAGGGGGGGAAGCAGATAGGCACTGACAAAGAAATAATGGGCAGAGGAAGATGGAAAGAAACAAGGATACCGAAGGACAGAGATGCAGATACAGAGGCTGACAGACACAGAGAAGGAGACAGAGAAAGACACAAGGACATAGACAGAGGGAGGGAAACGCAGAGATTCAAAGGGAAAGTCCAGCATGGTGGTCAGCCAGCAGTCTCAGATATTGAGTCACTCCGGAGGCTGAGGTGGGAGGATTGCTAGAGTCTAGGAGTTCCAGGCCAGCCTGGGCGACATAACGAGCCCCTGCTGATGGAGGAGGGTGGGGAGGGAGAGAGACRGAGAAATAGAAGTCCCAGAAATGCTATAGACTCCTAATGACCCCTAGAAATAGAGGATGACAGAAATGCATAGAAAGAGATTCTAAGCAACAGAGAAACAGCTAACCATTCAGGAAGGAACCAAGTCAGTGCAAAGATATGCCCAGAAACCCGTTGGCACTGAACAGCCTGGGAGGGGCTGGAGTGGGATGGGGCTGATGAGGCCCAGCCTCACCCACAAACTCTCAGGTGGAGCGAAGAGTGCAGGACATCGTGCTAGAGGCCATCCAAAACTACCGTGCTGATCCGGAGGAGACAGCGGCCGAGGAGAGTTGGGACTATGTGCAGTTCCAGGTACACGAGCCCAACCCCGAGGTGTACCCCTTCTCTAGCTCCAGTATTCTAACAAGGCTCAGTTCMGCTCGATCCATCAAGGAGACTCCGCCCTACTGGGCCCAGCCTCCAGCTCCAGGGCTCGCTCATTCTAACCCCACCCCCGACATGGCCCCACCCCCAGATAATAATATAACTGGCTCCAACGTAGCCCAGTACCCCGACTCCGCCCTCTACCTCAAGACCCCGCCCCTGCCCTCAGGAGGCGGCGGGAGTCCCAACAGCTCTGCATGACCCRGAGCTGGAACCTGACTCTGACAGATCTCAACCCTTGGAGAGACTCCACTCCCTAGATATGTGGCTCTGCACCCATCCACCTAACCCTGTGGGAGGCAGTCTTGCACCTCCGACCCAATCTCCGGTTCACAACGTGATGCTTTCTTCTAGCCCCAGGTCACCCCGTGACTCACATCTCTCCTAGTCCTTAAGTGTCTCTCCTGGCCCTAGCCCTGGCTCCATCGCGGTCCCAGCCCAGCTCACCTTTCCCTGCCCTTCACGAACCACTCAGCTCCCTGCTCCCCGCCATGACCTGATATTCCTGACTGGTATCCCTCTCTCAGCTGCGCTGCTGCGGCTGGCATTCTCCCCAGGACTGGTTCCCGGTCCGCGTCCTGAGAGGCAACGGGTCGGAGGCGCACCGCGTGCCCTGCTCCTGCTACAACTCCTCGGCGGCGACCAACGACTCCGCAGTCTTCGATAAGATTATCTTCCCCCAGCTCGGCCGGTTCGGACCGCGGRCACGACCCAGGCACAGTACAGACATCTGCGTGGTCCCTGCAAATGGCCACATCTACCGCGAGGTAAGAAAGGGTTGGAGGAGCTGTGGCTGTGGCTCAGCAGGAGAGTGCTTGCCTGGCACGTGCGAGGAGCTGGGTTCGATCCTCAGCACCACATGAAAATAAATAAATAAAAYAAAGGTACTGTGTCCAACGACAACYAAAATATATATAATATATATAAAAGAAAGAAAGGGCCTGGAGCACAACTAACTCGACCAGACTGAACAGGTGGGGTGTGGCATGGGGTGTCGCCTGAGGTGGGGGGCGAGAGAAGGGTGGGGCTTGAACGAACGGTACAACGGAGGGGCGGGAACCTCCAAAGGGGGCGGAGTCTGATGAAAGGGCGGGGCCTTAACACTGAGGTCAAGGGCGAGGAGACATTTGGGAGAGGTGAGGCGGATGTACAGGAGCTGACTAGAGAATCCGAGCAACAGGAAAAAAAAATGGGTCAGTGTCTGAAAGGAGAAGGCCAAACTGTGGAGAATATTAGGGTTGGGCCTGAGGGCGAATCCTACAAAGCTGCCTTTAACCTTCCCCTATACGTCCAGGGCTGCGCACAGAGCCTCCAGAAGTGGCTGCACAACAACCTCGTCTCCATAGTGGGCATCTGTCTGGCCGTCGGTCTACTCGAGGTGATTTGGCTCCGCTCACACTMGCGATTGGCCCTAGTCTATAGACAGACCTACCTTTAACCCTAAATCCTCGGGTAGCCTGGGAAGGACGCATGCGTCACGGAGTCCCGCCCCTCCTGGCTCTCGCGCTGCCGCCTCAGGATGGGAGGGGGCGGAGACCTAGCTTCGGTGAGCCCTGATTGGCCGTAGCAGGAAAGCCTCCTGTTATGGGCCACACTATCGCCCCCCTTTCCTCGCAGGTGAGTGTGATGGTGCTGAGCTTACAGCTGCGGCGCAAAGCACCCCGCCGGGAACCCGAGCCGCRTATGGGTCCGGGTACTTCAAGCCCTCCGCCCTGCCTTAGTGCCGACAGCGGTGGCGGTCGCTGTGGCGTCCTCACCAGCAGCGGACGTACCAGTGCTTCGTGGGGTGGATGGGGCATGGCCGGTGCTTGCCCCAACTGGGGGGGAAAAGTCCCGCAGGGCAAGCTTCCCATGGCCCTGGGGCCCTGGCGGCTTTCGGATCAAGAGGAAGAGCAACCTGATACTGGGAGTTCTAGCGCAGAGGTGGAGGCTGAGGTGGACGTAGAAGCTGAAGTGGAGGGGGAAACAGATGAACCTCCAGAATAAAGGACCCTAGGCTTGCTTCCGACCTGACTCCTTCTCCCGCTCAACCCCGCCGCCTCCCCACCTGTTGACACAGGGCTTCCCCTACTCATGGTTCCTGGACTCATCACTGCTGTAGCTCAGCTTATCATTCTCTAGCTCTCAACTTACCCACTTCTTCCTCTAGCCCCACCCATTTTCTACCTACCCCCCCCCACACACACACACACACAACACAGGAGCCTAGGAGCCTTATTTTCTTACCCTAACCCCACCCTCTGACTTTTCTGCTTCCAGGGCCAAAGTCACCCCTCACCCCCTTCACTGGAAGCCCTTTGTCATCTCTGATCGCGTCTCCTTTCTCCATAGCTCGGCTTCATGACGCTCTCGATATTCCTGTGCAGAAACCTGGACCACGTCTACTACAACCGGCTGGCTCGATACCGMTAGACCCCTCCCCGACCCCTTCAAGTGCCCTGGACTTGTAAATATTTGTTTCCCTTGAGCCCTCCACCTCCTCATTCCCTTGGGGACCCAGATGTCTGCCTGGCCACTGCCACCACCTCCCCCGGGGGACCTGGGGCTTCCTGCCCCACACATGCTTCCTTTCCTTGACTCATCTGTTGGCCTACCACCTCCCACAAGATTATTTTTCACTCAAACCTCAAATAAATCCCCTGCATTTTGGTAAAATAGCCTTATTCTTTGTCAGAACACAAACCAAAACGCTTTGAATGGGGAAAGCAGCAATCTAACCCGAGGCTCACATAGAAGGGAGATGAGATTAGAAAGACGCACCCCTCTCCTTTCCCAGCTGCGAAAAAGTCACAACCTAACACCCACATATAAATACTTCGTTATATTTTTTAAAAAGCAAAATATTTGCAGGGCCCACCTGGCTCTGCACAAAAAGGTTAATCCTCAATTTGTGACATCACAGATCAGAAGGGGGGGGGCAGATATTTAGGGGAGGAGACAGCTGGAAAAAAGGAAGGAAGACAAGCCAATGTGGAACCAGGGCCTGCCAAAACATCCAGAAGAGAGTTAGAGGCCAGGAAACCAGTGGTGTACCTGGGGGTTGTCTTATTCCTGTCCCCAATCCCTGATGCTCAGGAGTTTCAGACACCCCCTGTGAGGTCCCAGTACTGGGGTCTATCTTCAGTCCTGGTTTGTTCAGCTCACCAAGCAGGTTTGGGGGTCCTTTCTAATAGGAGACAGTCCTCGTTGTTCAGGCCTCTGTGGTCAGCCCCTTTCCATCACAGCCCCCTTCCCAAATAAGAATCGTGAAGAGAGCTGGAGGGTCCTTCCTAGGAGGAAGGTGTTCGGGGCTGAGCCAACTGTGGGCTCCTTCTTCAGTCCCTGACCAGGCGGTAAATGTGGTGCTGGGCCCCACGCTCACTGGTGGAGACCTCGAAGACGTAGGCGGTGCAGAGCAGCAGTTCCTGGGTATCTCTGTTGGTCACCACCTGCCAGGGAGGCCAGGAGAATGGGCTTATGCTTAGAAGGATTCCTGGGGCCTTCCCAGGCTACCAGGGGACCCCCAGCAGGCCTCTTTACCACCTGCCAGTAAACCACATTATGTTCCCCAAGTAAAAAGGTGCCCAACRGGTCAGGTTCCCTGGACAATAGGGATTGTCCCTAAGCTGAGGATCAGCAGTGGAGAGGCCTCAAATCCTACCACGTCCTATTCCCCAGGTTTCAGAGATCTCCACCATGTCATAGGTAAAGRGAGTCACCAGATGCCCCAGTCAACAGGTCTCTACCTCAGCACATCCCCCCAAATTAAATGGACTTCCTTTAGCTCATGATCCCTGAGCCAGGAGAGATTCCCTGGGAAACTTGAGAATCACCTTGAGGTGTCCCCCATGTCAATTTCCCCAATGAGAGGGATCCTTCTATGTGAGAGTGCTRTAAAGTCCCCCATCACATCAGCTTCCTAGGGGAACAGAGCCTATAAGCTAAGGGTCATCTCTGGAGTCCCTATTGCCTCAATTTCCAGGATGAGGGTTCCCTCTGGAGCTCCCTCTGCATCAGTCCCCTGGGTAAAGGGATCCCCTAAGCTAAGGATCTGGGAGAGCACTCTTCTCTACGTCAAGGCCCCTGTTCCAGCCAGACCCCACCCCCACGTCACCTGGAGGATGGTGAAGTTCTCAAGGACGCTGTTCATCATGTATCGCTCGGGCAGTTGCCGTAGCTTRTGCAAGAAATTCACCAGGTACTCGCACATAGGTGAGCGCAGCAGGCGGTACACGAAGCGCCCGTCCTCCAGCTGGGCCCGCTCCGTCTGAATGGGGGCAGGGAGTGGGAAGACAGTGGCTAAGACACACACAGGGCACCTAGGAATGGAGCCCAGCATGCCCCTCAGATGCCATACTCACTCCCCTCCAGCAACCCACCCTCAGTGCCCAGAGACCAAGCACTGAACACTCAGTGTCTTCTGATACAGGATCTGAGCAGGCAAACCAGAAACCCCTCCATGTCCTCTGAACTCTCAACAACCTTATTAGACCTCCAAACCCTCCAAGACCCTTGCCCCATGATACCTACAAACTGTACTTGAAACCCCCAAGGTCCCAGCAAGCCCTAAATCTGACTTCTGAACCTCTTTGCCCTGCAAATTCTTCATATCCATAGTCTTTTGAATCTTACTGACAATCTTCACACCTTTCCACTCTCAAAATGCCCCCTATCTGTGRCTTCTGAAGCCTGTGTTAGCTCCAAGCTCACACACTAAAACCCCCAGAGGCTGCGACTGCTCCCCACACCCCACAAATGCCTGTGCCATCATGGCTCATGGTCTGTGTGGCACCCCCAGAGGGGAGATGGCACCCACACCTCCAGCCTCACCTCCACCTTCTCCACCACCTGCTTGCCAAAGGAGCAGACCTTGGAGGAGCAGGTGAGGGTCATGTGCTCCAGGCTCTCGTACTGGCTGCTCACTCCATAGAAGCCACCGCTGCTGCCGCCACTGCTGCCAGCCCCCGCCTCCTCACCACTTGGGCCCCAGTTCAGGTCCGCCTGGGAGATGGGGAAGCACAGGGTGAGTAGGAGGGGACATCTTTATAAACCCTGCCCCAGAGCCTGGTTTCCTGTTGCCCCTGTAGTTGTCCACCATCTTCCTCAGCTTTCAAAGTTCCCGTATCTCCATGAGCTGGTTTCTGGAGAAGACCCACCCATCCCATCAGTGTTGGAAAAGTCTGGGTCCTCAAAATGGTCCTGACACGCTCTCCCCAGTAGCCAAGGAATTCTGGAATTCATATTTTTCCCCTTGAAGCCCTAACATAAGAGTTCAGCCCCTTCCAAGGGCCCAGTTACTAAGGAGGCAGTTACCCCTAGCAACAGGTTGAGACCCAATGGCCTCCCTCAGAGCCCTTCACTACCTTGGTTGCTAAGGTAAATACTACTCCCTAGCAACAGGGCTGGACTCCTTTCCAGAACACTCTCCAACACTTTCAGCTGGTGCTCCCAGGTAAGGCCCCCTGCGTCATCCCAGATGCCAAGTGTGCAGACAGGTGGTCAAGTGTCATTAGACCAGGAGGGGCCTAATGAAGCCTGAGTCTGAGCCACCTCCTTGGGAGGTAGAGGATACCTCTCCTCTTCCTAACTTTAAGTTGTTAACACCTTGCCAGGTCAGTCTCCTCAAAAGCTTGACTCCATCCTCCATCCTGGCAACAGGACCCTGTGAAGCCAGGCAACACCCAAGCCCTTATCAGCAGGCTTCCTAAGTAGGTGTCTCTCCAGATCTGGGAGTTGGTGGGGCCTGTCTTAAGCCCTAGCAGTGCCCAAGATCTCTGCAGCACATACCTAGAGTCATCTTGGGCCTTCACACCACAAGCCAGAAAGCTTTAAAACCATAGTCAGTCATACCCAGCAAGACCAGGACAGCTCAAGGCCCCAGCAGACTTCCTCCTGAGAGACTAGATCCCACCACCACCCTGGTTACCTCAGGAGTTAACATCCCCTTGAAATTCAGAAAACATTTGTTGAGCCCCTGTAGTGTCAGTTATTGTACTGGACACCAAACCAAATAGGCCTAAAAAACACCCAAGATGGATCCTTARTCACAATTATATACAGTCATCCCTTGGTTTCCATGGGTACTGGTTCCAGGATTCCCCATAGATTCCAAGGTCTGTAGACCCTGAAGTTCCTCATATAACCTACACACATGCTCCTGTATACTTTAAATCACTTCTAGGTGACTTATAACACCTCATACAATGTAAATGCTATGTAAATAGTTGTTATAGTGTATTGTTTAGGGAATAATGACAAAAAAAAAAACCTGTACATGTTAGCACAAACACAACCTTCGTAGGCCTAACTACATTTTCTACCTGCAGCTTGATGTGAAATCCAGATACACGAAGGGTTGAGTATGCATAGCACCTGGTATCAGGTATAATAAACGTTCAATAAATGATTGTTAAATACAGAACTTTACAAAGCCACTCCCCAGCTCCTTTAGTCACTTCCCCAGGGCAAGACATTCTCTAGCAATCTGGTRGAAACTAGCAAAGTCTCAGTCCCACCTATAGAGACCAGAATCCTCCACAACTCCATGGGCTAAGGGAGGTGGCTGTTCCTTAGCAACAAGGTTGGTGTGGTCAGGTGGGGCCTGGAGTGACCTGAACGTGGAAAGCCAATCCTAAGACACATTAGTCCCATGACTTGGGGTGGCAGCCTAGTGGGTTCTGGGGAGTCTCAAGTGCCTCCATCCCGCTCCAGGGGCTGGACTCCTCAGCATTCCTTCTTGCAACAGAGACTGACACTCAAGCCCTGAGGACTGACCCATAAGGCCCAGGCTGTCCTGAGAAGTCCTGAGACTCTTCCATCTAGCCAATGACCTTAGCTGGGATGTCACATGGTCTTTAAGCACTTTTGGTTTTGCTTCCAGAACTCACCCAGAACTTGACCAAGAAAAAGGCATGGGGAGGGCCTCGATCATACAGCTCCCGCAGACCACCCTTTTTCTCAGGAAATTTGTCGTAGATCTGCCGGACGTCCACACTCTCCAATGGCGGTGCTCCAGGACTRGGACAATGCTGACTGATGTGCACAAACAGGTGCCTCTGGTACTGAGGAGGGCCAACCGTGAGTGGGGGGTGGGGAGTGGGCTGGACTCCTGACCTCACTGCACGAGGCCATCCCACACTGTCACCATCCCCACAGCCCCTACCTGGTGCTCCACACTGTTCACTGGTACACTGTTCACACCCATCTGCCCCCAAAAGCACTCCCAGTTCCTGGGCCCCCAGCACGACCCCAGCCTCCGCTCTGAATTCCCAGTCTCCACCGTCTCCCCTCCATCTCATTCCTCACAGGGCTCTCCAGAGAGCACACCCTGGCCCTCTCCTGTCCATAGTCCTTCCATGGCTTTCTAGTGCCTCCAGGAAAAACCCACAACCCAGCCCTGTATTCAACAAGTGCTCATGAACATTCAATGGATGGATAGGTGGTTGGATGGATGTRTGGATGGGAATCCACATAGCCTATATCCAAGACTCCCTATCTGTCCCCATTCTCATGATTTCTTAATTTCTCCCATCTTCTCCTCCAGTATAAATCTTCTGTCCATCTTTCCAGACCCAAGTTAATCAAATCTGCCTAACTCTGGAA